CGTGAGAGACAGCTGCAGTTGAAGGCGTTAATGAAGCCGAGTAAATGAGGCATTTCCAGTGAAGCGGGGACACCTGACAGTCACGTTTCGGCGGCTCCGAATTCCACGACAGGGACGTTCAGTGTCATGAGCGTCGGGGGCTTGTTCGCGTCTTGGTTTTGCAGATGTGGCTCTGCGTTCCATCACACTCACACTTTAGGGCAAGGGGAACCATCTGCAGCGAGACAGGAGTTCTGGCTCAGCGTTCTGGTTTCGGGGCAGCTCCCAGAAGGTGCGTCCGCTCCGTCCTACGGCTCTGTGCTCAGCAGTGTCTTCTGCCTCCCCATAAACACGAATGCGGATGAGCCAGGGCTGGGCTTCTCCTGAGCCCACGCCGAGATGTACCAGGCACGTGAGGCCTTGGCGTGCGGGTGCCTGTAACCTCGTGACGTTTGCAGGGCTGGCGTAGACATGGCTTGAAGGAGAGGCAGGGCTGGCGTAGACATGGCTTGAAGGAGAGGAGGCAGCGTGAGAGTAGCTGCGTAAGAGAGTGCGGAGGGTCACTGCCGGGCTCGCTCCCTTGTCCAGATCTGCTCGTGTCGAGGGTCCCGGCCTGCGATCGCGGTTCTCAAGAGAACAGGCCCGGCCCGCCCCCGTGGGCATCTCGCACGCGTGCTTAGGCAGAGCCCGTCAGCTGCACCTCTGCGTGCCTTTCCCCGCCTAGTCTCCCAGGTCCGGTCTGCCGGGGTGGGTTAGAAGTCACGTGGCTCTAAGGAGCACCCTGAGATAAGCGGGTCCCGAGCAGCCTCCGCGGTCCCGCCCGTCCAGAGAAGCCCCTCGGAGTCAGCCGTGACTCCTCTCAGTCCGTAGCAGCACCTGCTGGCTCAGCCCCTGCCTGTGCTTACACCGTGACCCCCACTCTGGAGCTCCACCCCTGCTGCCAGCCCCACCCCCACCTCCTTGCAGTTTCTCCGGGTCCCCTGTCAAAGTTCACCTGAGCAGTGGCTTCTGGCCCCTGTGTCGCTGTCACCTCACGGGGCCCTTCTTCAGTGCCATGCGAGCCACCTGATTCATACCTCCTGCCACGCCAGCCTCCTTCCTGCCTCCAGGAGCTGGGAGTGCTGCCCCCGCCACACACAAGAGCAATTCGCTGTGTCCCTGCCTCCGAGTCTCTCTGGCCGCCTGAGGAAGAATGGCAGTCGCTGCTCCAGGGTCCGCTTTCCTTCCCTGCGTTCTTTTCTCCACCCTGCCCGTGCCGTCTGAGTTACCCCGTCTCCTGGCTCCTGACCACATCGCCGGCCTCTCTACCAGAATGAAAGCAAGTCGGACAGAGACTCTGGGGACTTCCCGCTGGGCAGCACGTTAGGGACAGCGTTTGGTATAGAGCGAACGCTCAGTAGGTGTTTAGACGTGCGAGTGAGTGAGTGAGAGTGCACACAGTGTCCCATCCAGGGTACAGATAGCCAGTAAGCCAGTGTACGTGCAAGTGTGTGCACACTCAAATACAAGCTAGCACACGTGCAAGTGTGTGCACACTCAACTACAAGTCAGTGCACGTGCACGTGTGTGCACACTCAACTACAAGTCAGTGCATGTGTGCGCACACTGAAATACAAGCCAGCGCACCTGCGAGTGTGTGCACGCTCAAGTACAAGCCAGCGCGCCTGCGAGTGTGTGTGTGCTCAAATATAAGCCAGCGCGCATGCGAGTGTGTGTGCACGCTCAAATACAAGCCAACATGCCTGCGAGTGTGTGCTTGTTCAAGTACAAGCCAGTGTACCTGCGAGTGTGTGCACGCTCAAATACAAGCCAGCACGCCTGCGAGTGTGTGCACACTGAAATACAAGCCAGCGCACCTGTGTGTGCACATTGAAATACAAGCCAGTGCACCTGTGAGTGTGTGCACACTGAAATATAAGCCAGCGCGCCTGTGAGTGTGTGCACACTGAAAACCAAGCCAGCACGTCTGCGAGTGTGTGCACGCTCAAATACAAGCCAGCGCGCCTGCGAGTGTGTGCACGCTCAAATACAAGCCAGCGCGCCTGCGAGTGTGTGCACGCTCAAATACAAGCCAGCGCGCCTGCGAGTGTGTGCACGCTCAAATACAAGCCAGCGCGCCTGCGAGTGTGTGCACGCTCAAATACAAGCCAGCGCGCCTGCGAGTGTGTGCACGCTCAAATACAAGCCAGCGCGCCTGCGAGTGTGTGCACGCTCAAATACAAGCCAGCGCGCCTGCGAGTGTGTGCACGCTCAAATACAAGCCAGCGCGCCTGCGAGTGTGTGCACGCTCAAATACAAGCCAGCGCGCCTGCGAGTGTGTGCACACTGAAATACAAGCCAGCGCACATGCGAGTGTGTGCACTCTCAAATACAAGCCAACGCGCCTGTGTGTGCACGCTCAAGTACAAGCCAGCACGCCTGCGAGTGTGTGCGCACTCAAATACAAGCCAGCGCGCCTGTGAGTGTGTGCACGCTCAAGTACAAGCCAGCACGCCTGTGATTCTCCCAAAAGGGTGGTAAAGGCTAGCGCTGTCTTCTTCGCCTTTGACACATTTGGCACACGTGATCTGAATGGAACACAGCTGGTAAGGAAATAGCATGTGTGTGTGTGTGTGTGTGTGTGTGTGTGTGTGAAGTCTTTGGCCGTGACTAGCTCTAAGGTGTGAAATAATCTGGATTATTTAGACAAGTAGAACTGCCTGATGGTTACCCGCCTGTCTATGCAGCAGACTTTTACAACCCTGCAGAGACCCCAGGTGACTCCTTCCTCTGAGACCGTTTGCTGCCTCCTACATTTCTCTGTTCGAAACCGGTTCCTCTGACATGAGGTTACCCCTCACAAAACACAAATGTGAGAGGGAATGCATGATCCTTGTCAGCCATTTTGGTTTTAATGACTCTGTAATACATTTTTCTTGAGAAAAATACATGTAAACTCACACAACATGGCACATATGAATACTTTAATGGAAGTTAGTATCCCTTCCTTCCTCCCTTCAGTTATTAGGGCTGTTTCTGCTTCCCTTACCTTCCTGCAGTGTCCCTTTCCTCTGCCAGGAGTGTCCGTGTTATATAATGTGTACTGTCTTACATAACAGCACACGCACATGTATGTTCCTGTACATTCGGAGAACGCAGGGAGCAGAAGGCAAACGGGGTCTGTTTTGCTACTTTTTTTTTTTAAGAATTATTTTATTTAACTTTTTAGTTTATCTACTTATTTTAATTTGATCAGAAAGGGACAGAGAGAGAGAGAGAGAGAGAGAGAGAGAGAGAAAATCACCAGGTCCAGGACTCGAACCATGGTCAGCCCTGTGGGAGTCCAGCACCCTTAACCACCGCACCACCTGCCAGCCCCATTGTACTTCTGTGTCTAGACCTGGTACCTGCTTCACTGCTCCTGGACTGAGCACCAGGGGACTTTAACGAATGATCTGGTCTCATTGGCCAGCACTGACCAGGCACGCCCTCCTCTTTATTGCCCCGTTCATAGAGTGGCTGCTCCAGCCCCACCAGATGTTATAAAATGAAATCCGACACTTCTGAGTAACGTTTGACAGTAGTCTGTTACACGACAGCACATTTTTCTAAAACCCACAGTTACTGCAATATGAAATGTGTTGCTTGTTTTGAAGTGGAGCATAAATTATTAATTTCCCTCAGTATAACCACAAACCTGAAAATAATTAAGAGGCTTCATTTTCCCAGATCATTAGGATTCTGTTTTGGATTTGTGGGAGTCCAGCACCCTTAACCACCGCACCACCTGCCAGCCCCATTGTACTTCTGTGTCTAGACCTGGTACCTGCTTCACTGCTCCTGGACTGAGCACCAGGGGACTTTAACGAATGATCTGGTCTCATTGGCCAGCACTGACCAGGCACGCCCTCCTCTTTATTGCCCCGTTCATAGAGTGGCTGCTCCAGCCCCACCAGATGTTATAAAATGAAATCCGACACTTCTGAGTAACGTTTGACAGTAGTCTGTTACACGACAGCACATTTTTCTAAAACCCACAGTTACTGCAATATGAAATGTGTTGCTTGTTTTGAAGTGGAGCATAAATTATTAATTTCCCTCAGTATAACCACAAACCTGAAAATAATTAAGAGGCTTCATTTTCCCAGATCATTAGGATTCTGTTTTGGATTATTTGCAGCCTACAGATATTTATTTTGCATCGAAGACAATATTTGTTATCGAGTTCAGTTCTGGGACTGCATCAGCCCTGGGGGTTTTGTGAGTGTTAGGGTGAATGACAAGTGCAGTGCTGAGATTTATGACTCCTTGAGGCCCACACAGTTCCAGAGAACTAACACAGACACTCTCCAGGGTGGGGAAGTGCACTTACTCCCTGCTATACTGAGTAAATCGTACCTTCATTACAGCCCTTAAAAAATCCTCATAATGTTTATTTTTGTAGGCCGACTAAGCAATATTTTCTAATTATAGAACATTTGGGAAAGACATAGCACACAGAGGAGAAGATACAGCTCGGTCCCGACCTTACCTCTAGTCAGAACCACTGTTAACCTTTCCAGCTTCTGTTCTTCCATCCGACAGCTTGAGAGATGAACCTGGAGACTGATGTCAGTGTGCGTACAGAGGTATTCTTCTTAAAAATGGGATCAGGGACCAGCTGTTGACAGATGGCTATGTCACTGGACTCCCACGTAGTCGACTGCGGTTCAAGTCCCAGACCCAGTGGCTTAAACTCACGCCAGGCGCATGTGCGTGCGTGCCCAAGATCCCGAGAGGAGAATGGAGGAGAAGGGATTGCGGCGTGGTCATCCCCCCTGGGGGGATGATTTCTTACTTTCTGTCTCTCTGTCTCTCTCTGTCTTTCTGGCAAACACATGCACCCTAGAGCAAAAATCTCTAAAGAAAAGGGGGGGTGTCATATTATAAACTAGTTTCGTAACCAGACTTTTTTTTTATTTGTTTTGCCTAAAACACTTTTTTATGTCATTAAGTGTCCTTCCACCATACAAGGAAAGTAAGCCTCTCCCTTGTTTTGACAGGACAGCGATATTGCAGCCTTGGTTAGGTGTTTGGAAGATGCCCTGAGTTGCACCTCTCTAGGTAAGCTTCTTCTGATTCCAAAATATAATGACACCTTCCGGTTCTGTTGGAATATGTAGAAAGTAGAAAACTTGTAAGAGATTTTATGGATATTTCAGTCCAAACTCCTCAATTTTACAATGAGGAAACAGACCAATGGAGATTGAGGATCTTTTCCAAGGACCAGAAACTAAAAAAAAGAATTGCTTATTATTATTGTAAGTGACCCTCAGTCTCCAAGGATGACATAGTTGAAATTTGGTCATCCCTTGTGATGAAATGCTGGTTTGGCAGGGCATAATCATGAATTTTACAATACCTGGGATAGGAATCCCCTGCCCAACTTGTCCTGTGGAAGCACACAGTGTTCAGCCAGGCCGAAAGGCCATCACTCTGGAGGCCGGTCAGTTACTGGGAGAGATTTGGTCTGGAAGACAGAGCTGAAAATTCTTTAGCATTGTCAACCTCGAACAAGGTCGACCACGGGGGAGTCCAGTGACATAACCACTATGCCACCTGCTGGTCACTTTCATGCCACCAGGGCAGTGGACTCTAACACTGCTGCTCAGGTAGAACCAATTATGACCACAGATGGTGAGATACTGGGAACAGATACAGTATTTTGATTTGTTTACTTATTTGTCAAAGTTCATTTATTCAGGAGAGACAGAGGCATGCATCAGAGTGACTTGGAGGGCCTGGAAGCTTTGTCAGGTGTGTGGAGAGAAAGACAGGGCACCCCGACAGGGTCTTCAGCCCACCCTCCAGCCCACCTTCGGCTGACCTTGGCCCTGGGCACATGCATGCCGGCACACTCAGGGAGATCCCAGGACTTGAACTGGGAACCTGTCTGGCCCTAAGGAGTTCATGCTGTTGAAATACCTGTCTATGGAGGGAACGCAAGCAGGACCCTCATCACAGATAAGAACTGTATTGTTTTCAGAACTCCAAGCACTTCCCTGTCATCACATAAGCGCATGAAGACAGCCTTCTCACATGGTCTTACTGGGGTGAGGGTCTCACAAGGGTAGCCGTGTCTTCGTCTGACTACATCGCTGGGAGACGCGGCAGCTACAGCAATAGAGCTTACTGGTCATTGTGGTGGTTAATATATGTCAGAAAATAAATAGCATCCAAGGGACAATTTAAACTTAAATATGTCATGGTATAAGCTTTGTTGCTTAAAAATGAACGCTCTGTGCACCTTCCTGTTCATCATCGCGCTTGAGTCTGGAAATACCTGACTACGTGGAGTGTATTGAGGTATCAGTGTGTCACACACGCCTTCAAGAGCTTCTGCTAGCCCTCAACAGAAGAAGTATGCCTTTTCCCGTGATTTGGACTAAGCAAGTTTTAATTTTGCAACCGTCAAAATGTGTGCAAGAGTTTGACCCTGTTCCCAACCCTGGATTTCATTTTGTTTTATTTAGAATAGGGACAGTGGTATTTTCTTCTCCTGTATCACAAATGGGTGGACCGGATGAGTGGGTCGGCACTTGTGTAACCTAAGTAGGTCCTGAATTAGAAGGTGCCCTTTGCATTCTGAGTGAAGTGTGTTGGTCCCTCCTGTAGCATCAGGTCAGAATAGAGCCGCTAGCTCAGTGGTTCTCACACCTGTACATGTGCCGGAATCCCTTCGAGGGTTTAAAATGCAGGTCTGACCTGTGGCCAGGAATTCGTGTTTTAACAGCTTCCCCATCATGCTGATGTTCTGGGAGTCACGGCTTTAAAGTCTTAAGGCCCCGAAGTTATTGTTGTGCACAGCCACCTAATTTATAATTCAAACAGAAACATACAAAGTATAAAATTAAAATTTTTGTCCTTAACATTATAGTGAACTTACTTAGAAGCTAAGATTGAATGACTGCTTTTTTAGGTTCTTTTCTCTCTTTCTCTTTGTGGGCTTGTCAGCATCCTGGGCCATCCAGCTCTGCATATAAAAGTTCCCGAGCTTCCTCGAACCTGTACTGTGTGTCCTCATCTTCAGTGTTTGCATCAGACATTTAGGGAGATCTCACAGGTTCACGATACCACATGAGGAGTTGAACGTTGAACATGGTCTTAGCCATGAGGTGGGATCTTGGACAGACCCATGGAAAACTTTGAAACAATACCAGGGAGCACCCACTACATGCTTTTTTTTTTTTTCATACATCAATGACAAATTAGGCATCTGAATGGAGGCATCTCATTTACAAAGCTCTAAATTCCTCTAGAAATGTCTGATGGGGTATATGAAGCAAGTCCAGTTGTGAACAAGATACTTAGTAAACCAGTAGAATTAAGGGAGGACAGGAGGGAACAAGTTCAAAAGAAATGGGGAAAAGCTTGCAACATGAGAGTGGAGAGATGTCTTGGGATGTAGCAGGAGCCATTTTACAGAGAGCAGATACTTTTAAGCGTTAAACTACCATAGTTGAAATGTGTTTCCTCTAAATCTCTCCCTTCCTCCCTCCCTACTGCAAGTGCATACACCCTGAAGCAAATTAAAAATAAATACATTTTAAAAGGCTGTAAATCAGATGTCACAGATAGAATGAAGAGTAAAACAAGCTCCCTGTGTTAATGAGTTCCCAGGCTAGTCAGGAAGGCAGATAATTGCAGGGCACAAACGACTAGTAAAACACATGTTGTGAACAAGGTAAGTGTGTGTCAGTCAGGGTGGGCGTGTTGAGTGGGGGAGTAGTCCACTCTGGAGGTGAGGCACAAGAAAAGCTTCACAGGGAAATGAAATGTTTGTAACCCCTGTATCTGTAAGAGCAGGGTGAGGTTGTGCTCACTACAGTCTCCTCAGAGTCTAACACATACCGCAAAGTATGTTTCAAATAATCATTTAATGAATGATGGTCAGGAGGAGGGTCAGGAGGTCGGGAGAGAGAAGCGCTGTCTAGAAAGGATCAAGCAGTGTGAAAGCTCAGAGGTGTTAAAGGAGTATATGCATGAAGCTATCAAGAAGTTGGTATTACTGGAATGTAAGGTGTGAGGAAGGGATCGGCAATGGTGATGATGATGATGATTAGGGCCAACACCACAAAGAATCTTTGTGTGCCTGGTTAGGAGTTGGAAACTCAGCCTGTGCGTTAAAGTACCACTGGCTTTTGAGCGTGATCAGCAAAGATCGTGTTTAACAACAAGGGTGCTTTGAAAGGAGTGATTCGAGATGGAAACCTGCTGTGTGCTGTCTACACAGACAACAGAAGTGATGTAAACATACTTAACTGTTTGGGCCCACCATTACTCAGTAAGAAAGACAGAAGATGGCCTCTGTCTTTGTGTTCATCAAATGAAAATTCTGTCTCCACACAAGGGGACTTTAAAAGTTTGTGGAAAAAGGAATGAATAATGTAGGAGTTTATTTTGGTGCAAAAATGTTCTGAAACTTATGTAGTGTTTTCAATAATATGTGTTTCCATGAACTTCTTTGAAGACCCCGCATATTTTTTAGTAACTATGTTATGAGCCAAGATAACATATGAATTTAACCTTCTTAAATGTTTGGAGCATTAGCTGTATTTCTGGAGAGAAGTAATCAGCAGAATGATACATGTCCTTGGTAAACTGCATTTATGAGAAGGCTTTGTGCATCCACACTGGATGTTGTTAAAGAAGTAATTAGAATTTCAGAGATGCTCCAAAACCTCTCTGCCCATTAAGATTCCTTTAGTGTGTTGATATGTCTAATCAGCTTGGCTTTTGAAATTCCTGACCCCCTCAGGCCTTCTATTGAACTTTGGTAATAACCGTATAATCTCTACTGAACAACGGGGCTGATAGAAACCAGAGGAGGCATCAGGGCTTCTGATCTCTTAGAAGCTTCCTTTACTTAAGGGCTTCAGACTCTAAGCTGTTCAGCGTAGGGATGACTGACAGCCACTTGATCTGCACTATTGTGCTTTTTACCTTGACTGAAAAGCACTTCTCAGAGGTTAGAGTGGGCCGACATGGTGTTCTATCTGGTTACTGAGACCCTGGAGCCACTCTCATCTGGAGGAGGGGAGGGATGTCTCGGCTTATACACCGCTTGGATCATTTTGCTGTGATGCACAATGTCGGTCCTGACTTCTTCTGTTTATGTCTCTTAAAAATGTAAGTTTCCACAGCTTCTCTAAAACTTGAAAGGGTGTAACAGATTCTAAATCAGTGACCGTTTACGGAGAACTTGCTGGTGTCTGCTGCCTTGCCAGATCCTTTTATTTGACAGATGTGCTGCCATGGGAAGGCGGCAGGAAGACTTTGTAGGCTAAATAAACCCCTACAGCAGGTATTATGAATCACTTCTATTGTATCCTCTTAGCTGGGAACATTCTGTATATCCCCAAAACCTAGGGGAAAGCTCCCGTAATCAAGTTCACATGGCCGAGAGAGAAACTGGGCAGTCGTTCCCCATCTATCACTGACAGACTGTGGTCTCCCCGCAGCCAGCGTTGGAGAGGAAATGCTCCACGTCGTGCCCTTAGACTTGGACTCGCTCCTGAAGGCTTGGAATTTCTGAGGGAAAGTAAAACAAGGGCATGAGGAGCGCGAAGACTTGGGAAAGTGGGAGATGACAGTTCGTTGGGGAGCAGACGTCCTAGAGGAAGCCTCAAGGAGCAGGTGGCATCTGGGTCATTCTTGGTTCAAGAATAGATCTGGCCACGAGGAGGTGGGTAAGGGGGACCTAGTGTAGGAAGGTCGACTCGAGGAGGAGCAGAGACAGAGACAGAGACAGAGACAGCCTGTGTGAGTAACTTGGTGTTTCTCTCGCCTTTTTTTTTCTTTCGTAGAGGTTTTTGCCTTAGAGTGAATGTGCTTGCCCTAGAGAGAGAGAGAGACAGAGAGAGAGAGACAGTGAAGGGGAAAGTGAGAAATCACCCCCAGGATGGATGGCCATGCCTCAGTCCCTCCCCGATCTTGGGTACACGCACCTGGCATGAGTTTCAAGTCACCAGTCTGGGACTCGAACCACAGATGGCCATGTGGGAGTCCAGCAGTGTAATCGCTGTGTCATCTGCTGGCCCTCTCTCTTCCTATTTCAGAATTTCCTCTTGGTCTTTGATTTTTACCACTTTGGCTGTCAAGTCACTTGCAGAGGATCTTCTGTTATAGCTACTGGGCGCCTGAGGTATGTCCTAGATTTCAGTGCCTCTCTAAATTTGGGAAGTTTTCAGCTAACATATTGTGGAAAGTATTTCCTATGCCTTTGCCTGTCTCTTTTCCTTCTGGAATACCTATCGTGCAGATATCCGGCCGTTGAAAGGTGTCTAGCATTTCCCATATATTGTCTTCATTTAAAAACGTTACTCTCCTGTTCTCGTCAGTGGCTTGCACTAAACTGGGCGTTGTATCTTCCAGGTCAGAGATTCTTGTGCATGATCTCATCTGCGGTTGACACTTTCGAGGGATGTTTTGAGTCCCCGCAATGCGTTCTCTATCTCAGAAGTTCTGTTTGGCTCCTTTGCACAGTGTCTGTCTCCTTATGGAGTGCCTCCTTTATGCATGGGAGGATTTCCTCATCGCCTGCAGTCGGTGCTCTGTTTTCTCTTGCATGTTGTTGAGTGTTGTTACAACGAATATTCCAAATTCTTTCCTGATGTTTCTGTGATCTCTTGTGTCTTACTCATTGTTGGTGAGGAGTTAGCCTCTGAGGGGAGGTTTTCCTGATTCTCTCCTGCCTCGTGCTCTGCGTTGCTTTTCAGTCTTCCGCTTCTTTGGGCGTGTTTCTATCGCCGTGTGCTCCTGCATGTCTCTGTGAGGTGTGTAAGCTCTGTGCCAATGTCCCCTCCGCTTCTCTCTGTGGGGTTGCAGGGTCTGCCTGCTGCTCCTTTTTCCTCTGGGACTGAAGGAAATTAGCTTTTGGTTCCTGAAGGCTGGAGGGCTCCTCCTCCCCACAGCAGGCGAGGCGGGGTCCCTGCCAAAGAGCTAAAGCCAGCGGCCTGGTTGGACGTGCCTGCTGGCTTTACTGTGTCTGGGACTGCAGGGTCTCCCTGTTTGTTGCTCCTCCTTTCTCTGCTAAAGTTCTCATAAATATGATTAAGTTGCTGACTCTGAGAAGAGCAGATTGCCCACGTGGATCCTGAATTCCATCATCAGGGGCCTTATACGAGAGCACCGAGGACGTCCCGCAGAACTCTCCCCGTTTCTCGTCTCATGCTCGTTTCTCCTTGTGAAGTCCGAGAGCACCTCATTCATTGCCAGCAGGCCTCTTCCGCTGCCTCTCCTACTAAAGACCGATTGCAGTGAGGACGGCCGCCGCAGGGGCTGGAAGCTGTGAAGAACCAGCTTTCCCTAGAGCTGGGGGGCGGGCCCTGCCGACGCCTGGATTCTGGCCCGGTAACATTACTTTCAATGCCCTTTTTGTCACACCACGACCCCGTGCTGTCGTCCCTGTACTGTGCACCATCTCACATGTGAGAGGGAGACGGGGCGCTCTTGCCTGGGACGGCGTAATGCTCGCACCAGCCCTCGGTCCCAGCCCTGCTCATCTGAGCACCTGGGCCCTCGCCTGCCCTTCCTCTCCTGCGTGTCGGCGTTGTCTTCCCAGGGGAGCTCGAGGCCCCAGACTGTCTTACGGCAGACCCTAGAATGTTCGACCTGAATGAGGTCCTTGGCCCGAGGACACCTTTAAATGTAAGACGAGGGAACGGAGGCCCAGGGAGGGGCCCGAGGGCCGGGGAGGTGGTGAGGACAGAGAGCAAACCTCGGCTCTGGTCCCTGACGAGGCCAGCCTCTCCCAGAGCCCCCCGCCGGCTCTCCGCCCTCCCTGTGCTCAGTGGTCCCGGGGTCTCTGTGGATACCCCATCTTCCTCAGTGGGCTGCAAGCTTCTACAGGAAATGGAAGAGCAGCAGAAAGCAGACTGTGACAGTGACCAGAGTCGGGGATGTGAGGAAGACTCAGGCTCGCCGAGGACGGTGTCGACCGACCCCCCAGGGGACTCGGCGGGACCACCACGTCATGGCACCTGCACTTCTGCTTCTGTGAAGAGGGTCCACTCGCTCTGGGGACAGCAAGACAGGCACACAGAAAAGGAGGCAAACGCTCAGTCCATTCCGTGTGACATTTTCTCACCGTCTTCTCAAAACGCCCAGCCTCGAGTTGTTCTTATCATTTTTTTAAGACACTTTCAAGTCTTGCCGCGCTGCGATCTTCTCGCTTCAGCCTCCCGACTTCAAGGCAGGCACGACCACGCCTGGCTTTGTATAGGCAGGGCCTCGCCATGGTGCCCAGGCCAGGCTCCAGCTCTGACTCCTGCCTCAGCCTCCCGAGTCGTTGACATCATTGGCGGCAGTCCCCAAGCGTCCCAGCACCAGGGACCGGGCTCATGGAAGACAGTCCCCCTGTGGATGGGGTTGTGGAGTGAGGGTGCGTTCGGGATAGTCTCGCTGCCTCACCACAGTATCCAGTGACCAGGCACACGGCGTCGGGAGAACCCAGTCCCACTGCTGCCCCACCTGCAGGTGGAGCCCAGGTCACAGTGTGCACGGTAGGGAGTGGCTGCAGACGCAGACGAGGTCTCCCACCTGCCCGCCGCCCACCCTGCTGCACAGCCCAGGCCTGTGCTGGCCCTGGCCTTGGAGGGTGGCCTGGACTGCTGCCAGTCTGTGGCCTGAGTGTTGGGGGCCCTGGTGACAGCCCACGCTGCCATGCCAGGCCTTTCAGTTGAACCAGCACTGGAACCTCCCAGGTGGGTCCAGCTGATGCGGCCCAGTCTGAGCAGTGCACGCCACTGCGGGGGCCGTGGACCCCGCTCGGATGCTGACTCGGTTCGAACCGCGAGCACAGTGGTTCCCACGTGCGTAGGCAGTAGGAACAGCCACTCTGCTGTGCGCTGCTGCGCTCCTGCCCCTGTAAGGACTAGGAGCCCGGGCAGTGAGTGAGCAAAGCCGGCCGACGCGGCTGCCGTCCACGCCTGCTCCCCTGGCCGCCGTCAGTGAAGCCCGCTGACTCCTGCCCGTGCACACGCCCTGTGGGGTTAGTCTCAGGGCGCCTCCACTCTCTGCAGCATTTTAATGAGTAGGACAGAGTGGTCAGCGTCTTTCCCGAAGTCTCCCGAGCCTGGGCCACCCCATGCGTGCGCACAGTCCACTTTCTATAACTCACCGTAGGAGGGGCCGGCAGGTGGCGTCATGGTTATGGCACTGGACTCCCACATGGCCAACTGCAGCTTGAGCCCCAGACCTGGTGGCTTGCTTTCTCACTTTCCCTCTCTCTGTCTTTCTCTGGTCAAATTAAAATTAATTAAATAATTAATTTAATATTTTTTTTCAATCACCTTAGCTAGGGCGCTGTGTTTGATGAGTGGTTGGTGGTCATTTCCGGTCTTGGAAACTGGGAGGAGAGGACTGTTCTCTAAGCAGCTTCGTATCAGGGTCCACTGTTCCTCAGGACAGTAGCGAGGGCACAGCAAGCGTGAAGGCCAGTGAAGGGCAGGTCGGAGGGGGCGGACCTCGCAGTGGCCAGGAGACCCTCAGGACGCCCTGACCAGCATTCTTTTCCCCGTGTGGAAATCTAATGCTTAGATGTGAGAGTAAGATCAGGGGAACTCGGCTGACTGGGAAAAGTCCCTGGTCACCTCAGTGAACATCCGCACCTGCTGAGAGAGGGCCAGAGGCCCCGGAGTGTGCTTCCTAAGATACATCTACCTCCATCTCGAATATGCAAAGCTCATCCCTTAAATAACAATGTTCTATTTAAATAATCCTTTTCAAGAGAGACTCAATCCTGGAATGCCTCCTGCATATTAAAGCTGTAAATGATCTTGTCCTTTGGAATAAATCTCCCTGATGTGCGTGTTACGATGGCACCCACCCCAGTTAACGTAGCATCACCTCGTGGCCAGGGTGGACTTGCTCCTGTTTTCCGCTGCCCTCGGACATCCCCGTGGGGCTGCAGGGGTGCTGGCAAAGCCAATAAAGTTGTATGTTGGTTCCAGACACCGAGACCACCACCACTGCAGCCGCGGACGTGACCCCAGCCCCGACAGTCTTCCACAGCGCGATGGCCACGGCCAGGATGAAGAGCATTCGGGAGTAAGTGTGCGTCCGCCTCCTGCCTGGAGGTGCAGTGCTGGGTCAGCAGACCCGACACGCGGTCCAGTCCCGTAACGGTGTCCGAATCCTTTGCGCTGCGGTAACCAAACACCCGAGGCTGGGCAGACCGTGAGAAGCGTGCATTGACTTCTCGAGGTTCTGGAGGCTGGGCAGTCCGTGAGAAGTGTCCATCGACTTCTCGAGGTTCTGGAGGCTGGGCAGTCCGTGAGAAGTGTCCATCGACTTCTCGAGGTTCTAGAGGCTGGGAAGTCCACTCAGGACAGCCTTGGTTCCTGTGCGGGATGGGGGCTGGCACCCTGACCTCCCAGATGGTGCCTTACTGACGCACCCTCAGTGAGGGCTGGCACCCCGACCTCCCAGACGGTGCCTTACTCTGACGCACCCTCAGCGAGGGCTGGCACCCCGACCTCCCGGACGGTGCCTTACTGACGTACCCTCGCATGATGGCAGGAGGGAAAAGGGCCGGACGCTGTGAAGCCTCTATCATAAGGGCCTTAATCTCATTTATGAGGAAGGCGCCCTTGTGACCTGGTAACCTTGAAAAGTCCTCGTGTCTTAATGCTGTTGTGTTGGACACTGTCTCCATACACAAACTGTGGGCGGACACACATCTCACTTTAACATTGTGCCCAGCCACCACCACCCCACTTTATGTCCTGACACGCAGAGTGTGTCTTTTCACCCCATTGGCCTTACAGCCTTAACCTGTTCCAGCAGCAACTCCAGGATGTGAAGTCTTATCTATATCATCTAAGTAATACATGGACAAGACCCGAAAGTGTGATCCAATCTCCCCCTCCAGCTGTGGGCCTGCAAGTCACTGTAAGGCGAGGCTGTCTCCCTCCAGGTTCCAGGGCCTCACTCCCATCTTCCTTCCAAGGGTCTGTGCATGGCCGCCTGCACCGTCTCTGTGAAGACTGGGGCCCCTCTGCAGCTCTCCTCTCCTGACCCCTCACCAAATTCACTCTCTGATTGGTACGGTTTGAATAGTTGGGTAAATTTAACAGTAATTATTTTTAAGTTGATTTCCATTTACAAAAGGAGACTTTTAAAAGGTTGTGGGAGGGACCTGCAGTTGGCATAATGGCTACATCACTGGACTCCCACGTGGTCAACCACTGTTCAAGTCCTGGACCCGGCAGCTTAAACTCATGCCAAGCGCGTGTGCGTGCCTGCCAAAGATCCTGAGAGGAGAACGGAGGAGAAGGGATTGTGGCATGGCCATCCCCCTGGGGGGTGATTTCTCACTTTCTGTCTCTCTGTCTCTCTCTGTCTTTCTGGCGAGCGCACACACCCTGTAGCAAAAATCTCTCCCAAAAAAAAGTTTGTGGGAAACGCGATTAAAGTATGAATTTGTTTTGGTGCCAAAAAAATTCTAAATTAAATCCAGGTACAATTTTGTTGTCATTGTTGGTAGTTTGCTATAGGGTATAAATACTCATCAGAGACAGAGGTGGGGAAGTAAGAAATCAGTCCCCAGAGGAGATGGCCATGTAGCAGTCCCTTCTCCTCCATTCTCCTCTAGGATTTTGAGCATGCACGCACATAGGCCCAGCATGATTTTCAAGCCGCTGGGCTGGGGCTCAAACCTTGAAGTCAGCCATGAGGAATCCAGCTGTCTTAACTTCATGTCAACTGTTGGCTTACTTTTTTTTTTTTAAGAATTCTTTTTATTTAACTTTATTAATTTATTTTAATTTGGCCAGAGAGATAGAGAGAGAGAGAGAGAGAGAAAGCGAGAAAGCAAGCTGCCACGTCTGAGGCTTGAACCGTGGGCGGCCAGGGGGGTGCCTAGCACCTTACCCACCACACCACCGGCCGGCCCTTGGCTCCCTTTTTTTAATAATACACATATTCTGTGAAGACCCTTCCACCAGCTACATTGCTCTTGCAACAGAGCATACCATCACCCAAGCAAAGGAGAAAACAAGTGAAGTGTTTCCAGACCTAAAGCTGTTGGTATGTTTAGCCGTGTGTGGTGTTCATGCCTTGTTCATACCAGAGTGGCCGCACAGCAGCCGAGTTACCATGGCAGCAGGCGGTTCCCAGGAACCCTGAGGAGGGAGTTGGTGCCTCTCCCTGCCTGGCTCCACCTGTCCCGGCTAGGAGGGTGACGGGAGCTTTGCTGATCCCCTCACTGGCCACTGGCCATCTTTGAAGAGAAGCTTGAACGTGCTTATCTCAGCCTCACCGGGAAGGACGAAGGACGTGGTGTCAGGTTTCCTATCTCAGACCCCATCACTAATGCGAACTACACAATAGTCCATCTAGGACATTCACGTGTCTTAAACCATTAAAATGAAAGCGATTCTGCCCAGACAGTCCTCCTGGCACTGCTGCAGGCTCGGGGCGCTCATCGTGGGCGGGCAGTGCAGATCGGGCTGCTCCCTGGGCAGCTTGCTCCTGAGCATCGCCTGCCCTCCCCTTCCCTCTGAGCTCACGGCCCTGCGCCATTCCAGACCGGGCAGGGGAGTGGAGGCTGCAGCGCTGTGGTGTTCGGGTCGTCTTCCCCAGATTCCAAGGCCTAGAAAACAACACCCAGATTGGAATTCCTGCTCCTTCACTGCCCAGGGATGTGCTCTGTGCTCGGTGTGGACAGCAGCTGTGGGGTGTGGGG